ATCAGAACTGCCCCGTCTATCCTGACATTTAGGAAACAGGTGAAGACTTGGTTATGGAGACAGGCATTCAACGAGTGAGCCAGATATGGATGGAGGATGATGAACAACGAGTTAGTGTGACGACTGACCATTGTAGTTATTGAATGTAATTGCTGTTTTAATGTTTTAGTGTAAAATGAATTATTATGTTTTTATTAACTGTATGTGATATTATGGTTGGAAACCGGTCTGAGTCCCTCAAGAGTTGAGAAGGCCGGTATATAAAACTTTTAAATAAATAAATATAACTGTATGGATTTTAGAATACAGTTTGGAGAAGCAATATGCTACTCTGAGGAAGAGAAGCAATATGCTGTAATGCTGCTATGCTCTAACAGTGATGGTGGAATAGTTATTTACTCAAGGTTTATGTTTTGCTCTCTCATTTGAATGAAGATGAAGAAACCTTATTCTGTGTTGCTTACAAGGATTATGTAGGTTTATTGCACTGTTTTATTTTGTATGCAACACTGCAAGTTTATGCCTATGCTGATAAGAGTAAAGTTTTTCTGTTCCTTTTTTCCTCTTGCCTGTGTGTCTTTTGCATGGGATTTGGCTAAAACACACTTTGCGCAACACTGGTTGCCCAGCCACAATTTATAAATTGACGCCCGTTTCTGTAATCACAAGAGGGATGATCCAGCCAGAAATGCTCATATAGGCAAGACCCCACCACTTGTCCTACTTGTGTTCATTTCAATAGGATGTATATAGGTGACCTTTCCACTAGATTGTCCCTCAAACAAATGCTTTATCAAAGAAGAGCATAAATGTTCAAATTGCTGCATTCTGGAGCATATTAGAAGATACATGATCTCTAAGGTTGCAGAGATTGAATTTTGGTCACTCCTAAAGGTTGTAGGCCAACTATATGTGATGTGGCGGCAAAAAAAGCCAATGTGATTTTGGCCTGCCTCAATTGGCACATAGTGTCTAGATCCAGAGAAGTCATGCTCCCCATGCTCTATTCCGCTTTGGTTAGACCACACCTGGAATATTGTGTCCAATTCTGGGCACCACAATTCAAGAGAGAGATATTGACAAGCTGGAATGTGTCCAGAGGAGGGCGACTAAAATGATCAAGGGTCTGGAAAACAAGCCCTATGAGGAGCGGCTTAAGGAGCTGGGCATGTTTAGCCTGAAGAAGAGAAGGCTGAGAGGAGATATGATAGCCATGTATAAATATGTGAGAGAGAGCCACAGGAAGGAGGGAGCAAGCTTTTCTGAACACGAGGAAGAACTTCCTGACTGTGAGAGCCGTTCAGCAGTGGAACTCTCTGCCCCGGAGTGTGGCGGAGGCTCCTTCTTTGGAAGCTTTTAAACAGAGGTTGGATGGCCATCTGTCAGGGGTGATTTGAATGCAATATTCCTGCTTCTTGGCAGGGGGTTGGACTGGATGGCCCATGAGGTCTCTTCCAACTCTTTGATTCTATGAGTCTATGATTCTATATGTCTCATTAAGAACCATATTGCTGCTTTTAGACCTGCAGTTCGTAACATTTACTCTTCCAAATGCTCAAAACTTCAACTTCCAGAAGTCTCTGCTAGTCCAGCTAATGATTTGGCACCATGAGTTCTGAATTTTCAAGAAATTATAGGATGAAAGGCTAAGAACCGTCTAGAACAGTGGTTCTCAACCTGTGGATCCCCGGATGTTTTGATCTTCTATTCCCTGAAATCCTAACAACTAGTAAACTGGCTGGGATTTCTGGGATTTGTAGGCCAAAAGACTTGGGGACCCACAGGTTGAGAACTACTTGTCTAGAACTTCTTTTAGATGAACTTGCATTTAATACCTTGCTGTTGCCACTAAAGCAAAAAAGGAGTTTTGAAATTGGTCTCAGTTCCACAAGGAATACTTCTCTGAATATATACATTACAAAGTTATTCCTTCCCATATTCCCAAAATCCAGCTTTTATGCATTTTGTAAGCAGCTGAGTTCGTTTTGCTTTTGTTGAATTTATTTCCATTCATAAATGAAAGCAAACTGAAAACTTCATCAAATTTTGTTATAGGCCATAAGGTTCATTTACTATCATCGCACTTCATCTGTGCCTAGAAGCAGCAGATCTTGGCAGTAGAGGACCATTGGTAATTATCCGCAGGGAAAAAAAATGTATCCCCAATAAATATTCCATCTTCTTTTTAAAAGTGCCACAACTCATTAGTAGTTCAAGCCACATAAAAAGGTGTATCACACAGGAGCAAGGAAAAAAATAGTATAACAAAATTAATCAAAGAGATATAAATCAAGCCACAAAACACAAAAGTAGACATATTGGCCATAAGGGGGGGAAAAAATCACATAATCCATATTGTGGTATACTTTTATAAGGACAACAAAAAAGGTACAAACATGACAAGTATTTGAGACAAGCACTTCAGATTTTAATATCAACACTTACCTGATGAAGGGATTGAGAGATCTCAAAGACCTATAAACATTGTTATGCCTTCTAAGATGTCTTAATAAAGATATTCCACAATATGGAAACTGGAGCTTTATGAAGACAACTAGCCGTTCCCTGCCACACGTTGCTGTGGCCCAGTCTGTGTATATGTGTTTTGTGCGTGTATATGTGTATGTGTGCATATATGTGTGTTTGTGTGTGGTTTTGTGCATGTGTTGTAATGTAGTTTTTATTTTTTGCCTTTTTAAGTTTCTTCTGCTGTGTTTTTCAGTGTTTTATGAGTGATGGTCACTCGTTGGGCTCAAAGCCAACCTTAAAAACTCTGGCATAGACACTGAGAACTGGGAAGCCCTGGCCCTTGAGCGCTCCACCTGGAGATCAGCTGTGACCAGCAGTGCTGTAGAATTTAAACAGGCACGAATGGAGGGCGAAAGAGAGAAATGTGCCAAGAGGAAGGTGCATCAAGTCAACCCCAACTTGAAAACAATGCCCTCATTGTGGGAGATGCAAATCAAGAATAGGACTCCACAGTCACCGACGGACCCACCGCCAGCACACTGATCCTGGAAGACTATCCTACTCGGACAATGAGGAATCGCCTAAGTAAGAAAGGTCACTCGTTGGCCTGATAGGTGTATTGTGGCCAAATTTGGTGTCAATTTGTCAAGTGGTTTTTGAGTTATGTTAATCCCACAAATGAACATTACATTTTTATTTATATAGACTAGCCATCCCCTGCCACGCGCTGCTGTGGCCCACATGGGGGTTCTATGTGGGAGGTTTGGCCCAATTCTATCGGTGGGGTTCAGAATGCTCTGTGATTGTAGGTGAACTATAAATCCCAGCAACTACATCTCCCAAATGTCAAGATTCTATTTTCCCCAAACTCCACCAGTGTTCACATTCGGGCATATTTAGTATTCTTGTAGAGTTTGGTTCAGATCAGACCCAGGAAGAAATGGGTCTTCACTTGTCAAAATGTGAAGCACAATTGAAGACCCATCTCTTCTGGCAGGCCTACCAAGTCAACTTTGAACCATGAATTTTGGTTTGTCGTTCTCTTGCCACTGCCTATATTTCGTTCTTTGTACAATGTGTTTTGATATATGTATTTTATGTTGATGCATTTTGCCTGTGTTGTACCCTGCCTCAAGCTATTAAGAGGAAGGTAACAAACAAAATAATACTTCTGTTATTGGTGTTACAATTATTATTATATATTAATACCAGATTTCAATTCTATGCTGCTCAGCAAAAATTAACCATGCATTTGTGTACAACTTGACCAACTGGATATAACCTGTGGTTATTACCAATTTCTATATTGTTCACAATCATAAAGGTAAAGATAAACGTTTTCCCCTGAAACTAAGTGTAGTTGTGTCTAACTCTGGGGGGTGGTGCTCATCTCCATTTCTAACCTGAAGGGCTGGCGTTGTCCGTAGGCACCTCCAAGGTCACGTGGCCGGCATGACTGCATGGAGCGCAGTTACCTTCACCAAAATTGAAGGGAGATATTGACAAGCTGGAATGTGTCCAGAGTAGGGTGACTAAAATGATCATGGGTCTGGAGAACAAGCCCTATGAGGAGCAGCTTAAAGAGTTGGGCATGTTTAGCCTGAAGAGAAGGCTGAGAGGAGATATGATAGCCATGTATAAATATGTGAGAGGAAGTCACAGAGGAGGGAGCAAGCTTGTTTTCTGCTTCCCTAGAGACTAGGACACAATGGAACAATGGCTTCAAACTACAAGAAAGGAGATTCCATCTGAACGTCAGGAAGAACTTCCTGTGAGAGCCGTTCAGCAGTGGAACTCTCTGCCCCAGAGTGTGGTGGAGGCTCCTTCTTTGGAAGCTTTTAAACAGAGGCTGGATGGCCACCTGTCAGGGGTGCTTTGAATGCAATATTTCTGCTGGGTTGTTCTAGGTTTTTCTAGGCTATATGGCCATGTTCTAGAGGTATTTTCTCCTGACGTTTCGCCTGCATCTATGGCAAGCATCCTCAGAGGTAAAGTATTTCTGCTTCTTGGCAGGGGGTTGGACTGGATAGCCCATGAGGTCTCTTTCAACTCTATGATTCTATAAAGCAATAACTATTGATCTACTCACATTTACATGTTTTCAAACTGTTAGGTTGGCAGAAGCTGGGGCTAACAGTGGGAGCTCACCCTGCTCCGCAGATTCAAACCACTAACCTTTGGTCAGCAAGTTCAGCAACTCAGCGGTTTAGCCTACTGTGCCAGCAGGAGACCTGCCCACAATCATACATACCAAATAAAGTTTTTTTAAAAAAACTTCACAACCTCTGAGGATGCCTGCCCTAGATGTGGGTGAAACATCAGGAGAGAATGCTTCTGGAACATGGCCATACAGCCTGGAAAAATGACAGTTTTTGTTGAAAGCCTTCAACAACACAAGGTTTAAAAACTCACATCAGGGAGGAAAAGCACTTTTACTTTGAAGTATATGCAATCTTAAAGCTTCTAGGTATTTTAAGTTCTAATTGTGTGCATTAGAATGACTAAAAGGAAAAAAAAAGAAGGTACCAAGCTTCATAGTGGTAGATTTATTCATTTGCTATGATGTACAATCATATCTGAACAAAGGAGCCACTGAAAGAAAAGCTTGTGGCTTTAAAGCTGGAGCCATGAGACTGATGTTGGCTGTATTCAGCAAAGAAAAATGAGTAGGAGAAAAGCGCAGAGCATGGACGGAAGCGAGGGCTGTGCTGGTACTTCTTCAGGGGCCGGTTTCTTTCTGGCGGCAGCACCTTCTCTTCCTTCCCTCTCACAGCATTTTCCTCTTCTCAAACTCCTTCAGGGATTTTTTTTTTAAAAAAATGAAAGAAAAAAAGGCTTCGTTATAGTCATGACAAGTCTTTGCGAGATGTTTCTCTCTATACCTAAATGGGTCATTCCATATCTGCAAACAAACTCTTGCCCTGAATGTTCACTCCCTTTTCTTAATGGCTCCAACGGATCTCAAATACGATACAAGATCCCCCATGCGTACCGATATTCCAGACGAACACAGCCATCAATCTATTGACTAACCTTGTATATAGTAGATCCCAGCTGAGCAGGAGACATACTGACAATGACACCGGCGTTTTGAAGGGCCGTGATTTTCTCTTTCGCGCCACCTTTCCCTCCAGCAATGATAGCCCCCGCATGGCCCATTCGCCTGCCCGGAGGAGCAGTAACTCCTGCTATAAATGATACAACTGGCTTGGAGTCCTGGCCCTGTGAGGAAAGAGGATTCGTGTCATAAAAGAAAAGGAGAGGAGGCAAGAAATGCGATTACTACAGCAAGTGTAGTGAATGGTACTGGCTGCCAAAAGACAACAAAACTCTAAGTAATCAATATATGGGTTGTTGTATGTTTTTTCGGGCTATATGGCCATGGTTTAGAGAGGCATTCTCTCCTGATGTTTCGCCAGCATCTATGGCAAGCATCCTCAGAGGTAGTGAGGGTCCATAGCAAGCATCCTCACTACCTCTGAGGATGTTTGCCACAGATGCAGGTGAAACGTCAGGAGAGAATGCCTCTCTAGCCCTTGGCCATATAGCCCGAAAAAACCTACAACAACCCAGTGATTCCGGCCATGAAAGCCTTTGACAACCAATATATTGTTTTTTCGTGTCAGGAGTGACTTGCAAGTTGCTTCTGTTGTGAGAGAATTTGGCTATCTGCAAGGATGCTGCCCAGGGGATGCCTAGATATTTAACTATCATGTGGGAGGCTTCTCTCATATCTCTGCATGAGAAGCTGGAGCTGAAACATGGGAGCCCACCCCACTCCCCAGTTTTGAAGCACCAACCTTTTGGCTAGCAATCCTGTCAGCACAAAAGTTTAACCCATTGCGCCACCGGGGGCTCCAGTAATCAATAATAAAATAGTGCTAAAGGGCTTGACTGAGGATCATGAACAGAAAAAAGGAGTATCAATGGGCAATGGATGTCCTGAACAGAACAAAAATGGGGCTTAAAACCCAAGGAATTATTTAAACCAGAAAGCTGTGACCAACAGACCAAATGGGCCCTCAAAGCAGACATGGGGTCAACATAAATTGAGAGGTGATGCGAAAGCACATTGGTACACCTGGGCTTCAATGATATCAAGTATCTCCGCCCTTTGGGGTGGTATAAAAATAAGTTTTTATTATTGTTTTATTATATTACTTCAGAGGAAAAAATCAAAACACCTGCCAGCATATTTTAGTGCCAAGGTGGGCACAGTGCGCTTATCCTGAGGTTGTTATTATAACTCCCAAGAGTTAAAAAAACCTGAAAATTCCAAAAATCTGCTGTCCTTCTAGATCAGGCATGGGTAAACTTCAGCCCTCTTTGCAAGTGTTCTGAACTTCAACTCCCATAATTCCTAACAGCCAGTAGGAAGTTTGCCCATGACTGATCCAGATACACTCTTTGGGCAGAGTTATAATGTTGCAATGTTTTTAGCACAACTATTTTAAGCCCTTAAAACAATCAGGAATATCACTAGACATGTTGGAGCCCATGGTGGCGCAGTGCGTTAAACCCCTGTGCCAGCAGGACTAAAGACCGACAAGTCGCAGGTTCGAATCCGGGGAGAGGCGGATGAGCACCCTCTATCAGCTCCAGCTCCTCATGCAAGGAAGGACATGAGAGAAGCCTCCCACAAAGATGATAAAAACATCAAATCATCCGGGCGTCCCCTAGGCAACGTCCTTGCAGATGGCCAATTCTCTCACACCAGAAGCAACTTGGAGTTTCTCAAGTCGCTCCTGACACGACAAAAAACAAAAACAAAAACAAAAAACTAGACATGGTTAAAAACTACCTAGGAGGCCTTGAACTGAAAATCTGTGCAAAATTACAATTAATTAATTATTATTTACTGTACTTATATACTGCCTTTCTCAACCCTGGGTGGATTCAAGGTGGTTTGAAACATATTAATTGCAAAAATTCAATGCAAAACATACAGTACACAAAGAAATCATAATAACTAATTACTACACATAAATTTGACTTATGTTGTACTGTGGGTTGTATGCTGTATATTTATGTGTATGTCAAATGTTTTTGATATGGCCAATGGGCTAATCAATAAAATGTACCTATATATAACAGTGAACTTAAAATCAATTAAAAACATTAAACATAAGGCATACATAAAATTTAAACATTCAGACAAAGCATAAAGTATTCAGTCAACAACAAATGTGATAAAATAAGCGATGCTTTTGCAAGTTGTGCAAAAAGGACTACATATTTGGACTTCTCTTCCCTGTTCTCATGCAACGTATTAGTGAAAATTGTCAAAGCCGTTCTGTGAATGGGAAGGTATTTCTGGATTTAAACCAATGGATTTAGAGTTGAATAAAGGGCAGTGATTTTTTTTCAAATGACGATTTCTTCTTCCTCCCTAAGAACAGAATCTTCACATATCTTTTGAGCATTTAACCTTACAGAATTGTTTTTCCTTAGGAAGTCAGCAGCATCTTCTTCAGCGTTTCCACCAATCTCTCCTATCAGTATAATCCCCTCAGTGTGAGGATCCTTCAAGAAGACATCCAGACAGTCGATAAAATTCGTTCCATTAAATGGATCTCCACCGATTCCTGAAGGGCGCAAAAAAAAAATATATTTAGAAGCTAAAATGTGCTTCAGAGACACTAGGGACTGCTGGATTTTAAGGTTATATTTTTAAACTCTTGCTTTTATGTCAATGGCAACAAAATTTTTGTACTTCCCAACAATTATTTCAGCATATTAAACATTTTGACAGATATTTTTAAAAAACAACAGCAAAAAACCAATTTTTAGATACATAAAATTAAAAATAGTTGTGTTCTGTCTCAAACAATCTTACAAACAATATAGGTACTATATTGAATTTCATCAGTTGTAAGCCACCTTGAGTCCCCCTACGGGGGTGAGAAAGGTGGGGTATAAATGCAACAAACAAACAAACAAACAAACGAATACTATGTATACCATTGGAGAGGGCAGAGGCATTTTATAATCCGTGAGATGGCACTCCAGCATCTATATAAATAAAATGTAATATTTGTTTGTGGGATTAAGATAACTCAATAACCACTGGGAGAATTGACACCAAATCTGGACACAATACACCTATCAGGCCAATGAGTGACCATCACTCATAAAAAAAATTGGAAAACACAGCAGAAGAGACTTAAAAAGCCAAAAAATAAAAATTACACTACAACACATATGCAAAACCACATATATAATCTCAAACACACATACACACACAAAACACATATACACAGACTGGGCCACAGCAACATGTGGCAGGGAACAGCTAGTTCCTAATAAAAATTGATGTAAAATCATTTTGAAATTTATTTTCAGATGCATTTTTGGAGTGGAGCTGGACCAGGGGAGTGAAATGGACACATTTGCAGGCAGTTTTCAGCCATTTTGCACCTCAAAAAGCCAATAAAATCTTTACACAATGTTCTGATACATTGTGTAAGCCACAACTACTTTTAGCATCACATGTCTCCGAAGGTTTCTTTCATGATGTAAAGAGAAAGTCATATATCACATCTTCTTTCAGATCCTTTCTGCACAATGATAAACAGGCATTTTCAGAAGAAAAGGTAACTTGTGAAGTGTCCCAAGAAAGCTCTGATTGTGCCAACACTTCTAATAGGAATCTTTTTATTTACAACTAGCCGTCCCCTGCCACGCGTTGCTGTGGCCGACATGGAGGTTCTGTGTGGGAGGTTTGGCCCAATTGGTGGGGTTCACAATGCTATGTGATTTTAGGTGAACTATAAATCCCAGCAACTACAACTCCCAAATGTCAAGATTCTATTTTCCCCAAACTCCACCAGTGTTCACATTTGGGCATATTGAGTATTCTTGTAGAGTTTGGTCCAGATCCATCATTGTTTGAGTCCAAAGTGATCTCTGGATGTAGGTGAACTACAACTCCAAAACCAAAGTACACTGCCCACCAAACCCTTCCAGTATTTTCTGTTGGTCATGGGAGAACTGTGCACCAAGTTTGGTTCAATTCCATTATTGGTGGGGTTCAGAATGCTCTTTGATTGTAGGTGAACTATAAATTCCAGCAACTACAACTCCCAAATGACAAGATTCTATTTTCCCTAAACTCCACCAGTGTTCACATTTGGACACATTTGGTCCAGACCCATAATTGTTTGAGTCCACAGTGCTCTCTGGATGTAGGTGAACTACAACCCCAAAACCAAAGGACATTGCCCACCAAACCCTTCCAGTATTTTCTATTGGTCATGGGAGAACTGTGTGCCAAGTTTGGTTCAATTCCATCGTTGGTGGGGTTCAGAATGCTCTTTGATTGTAGGTGAACTATAAATCCCAGCAACTACAACTCCCAAATGACAAAATCAATTTTTTTGAGTGAAGGACATACATTGGGTTGTTAGGTGTCTTGTGTCCAAATTTGGTGTCAATTCGTCCAGTGGTTTTTGAGTTCTGTTAATCCCACAAACGAACATTACATTTTTATTTATATAGATGGCACTAGGGCAAGATTTCACAAACCCATCACAGTATTATTATGATCCAGTTGCTAATGGCCTCCAACCTTCCAGGCACCATGTATTTCTTTACCCCACGGGGCCAGAGGTGCTACCAGATGAGCTTCAGACATCAATGCATGGTGTAACCCTGAAGCCAATTCAGAGGGACCGCAACAGTTCCCACTCTTACAATGTGCGGGTCTTAAACGTTATTCAGGAGAACCTGGAACTGTGATTCCCATAATTCAACTCTGATGACACATCCTAATGGCCATAATGTCTTTTGAATAACACCCATTGCAAAGGCTATAGGGGAGGAATGTCAAATGAGCACTACTCCAAAGAAAAAGAAAAGGCAGAAGGGAAAGAGTTATTAGCATTTCTAAGTAGTTTCTACAATTTGATGTGTTTTCTTACACATGGACTGAGTCTCTCTCAAAACCCACCAACACAGAAGGATTGTCCCAGTCCAACTTGAGTTGTCTGATGAACAGCTTCGTATGTCAATGTGCCAGATCTTGATACAATACCTGAAGGGTAAGGAGGGAAAAAAGGGTCATTGCAGATAAACAGCTTAAATGACAAGCTGGCCTTAATACTTATTCATATCTATGCCACAAGTTTGTGGTGGCAGAATGGGTTAAACCCTTTTGCCGGCTGCACTGAAGGTTGGCGGTTCGAATACGTGAAACGAGGTGAGCTCCCATCTGTCAGCTCCAGCTTCTCATGCAGGGACATGAGAAAACCCCCCGACAGGATGATAAAACATCAGGGCGTCCCCTGGGCAACATCCTTGCAGACAGCCAATTCTCTCACACCAGAAGTGACTTGCAGTTTCTCAAATGGTTTCTGACACAGAAAAAAAATTTATGCCACAATGCATATAATCAGTCTATACAAATCCACTGTGCTATTCAATTATCCTTACAAGACACTAAACATTACAATTATTTTACATTATGGATTTCTAAGCCAAACTGCAACACAGAGGGCCCTGTTAAACCTGCAGTCCAGTCCCTATTACATTACCTTTACTGCAATGGATTTGCACAAGTGGACTCAAACCATTTCAGCTGGAGATGGGACATTTTACAGAAAAGATTTCTGAGCAGTTGGACCCTATATACCCATTGCACAAGTATGTAGACTGTGAGAGTGAAGAAATGAAAACATCCCCAAATATAATATGATCTGACATGTTATCATTCCCTGATTTTAGAATCTGTCAAAGATCCCACAAATAGTAGACACAGAAGTGTACATCTACCGAAATGGATTGTGCACCTGCTTTGGACCTGAAACACAAGCAACTTCAAGTTTTCACATTTCTGTTTATATGTTTTCTAAGGCAGACTAGGGCTGAAACAACAATCAGGTTTGACAGTAACAAGTTCAGCAAATGGGATCTGAAATTCCTTTCTCTTTTTGCCAAAAGGAAATAAATAATAGCATACAACAATTCAAAATTCAAATCCCTACTTTGAGGGCTATATTCCAATGATGGACAGAGGCAAAAGGCTAGAATCAAAAATACCAGTATGCTTTAATTAATTAATTAATTTAACACATTTATAGTCCGCCCTTCTCACCCTGAAGGGGACTCAGGGTGGAGCACAAGAATTCATTATATGCATACATATACATTAAAAACATTTATCTCAATATTAAAATACAACCGAATGTACCCCATACCATTATGAAGTTTAGGAGAGAGGCAATACAGTTAATAGACCTTGTGTAAGTTAATGCTCTCAGCTTTTGAGGAAGGCAAAGGCAAAACTTCTCTGAATAAATTCTGCCAAGAATACCCTGAGATGACTAAACGTTGGTGGGCAGGAAAAGAGATTTAAAGATGGGCTCAAAGCCAACCTTAAAAACTCTGGCATAGACACAGAACTGAGAAGTCCTGGCCCTTGAGCGCTCCAGCTGGAGGTCAGCTGTGACCAGCAGTGTTGTAGAATTTGAAGAGGCACAAATGGAGGGCAAAAGAGAGAAACGTGCCAAGAGGAAGGTGCATCAAGCCAACCCCACCTGGAAACCAATGCCATCACTGTGGAAGAACATGCAGATCAAGAATAGGGCTCTACACGGTTCTGGCCCTACTTACCTCTCCGAACGCATCTCCTCCTATGAACCGACTAGGACACTAAGATCATCTGGGGAGGCCCTGCTCTCTGTCCCGCCTGCATCACAGGTGTGCTTGGCGGGGACAAGAGACAGGGCCTTCTCAGTGGTGGCCCCTCGGCTGTGGAATGCCCTGCCTGCAGATATCAGATCGGCCCCCTCCCTGCTGGCGTTCCGGAGGAAGGTGAAGACCTGGCTGTTCGAACAAGCATTTGAATGGAATAATGGATGATGAGACTGGATTCTGATTTTACTGTTGAGGCGCTAATGATTGTTATTCTGATGTTAATGATTTATGTTACAATTGTTTTTAATTGGCCTATACTTGTCTCGTGATGTTTTGTACCGATGTTGTTCACCGCTCTGAATCGCCTGAGGGCTGAGAAAAGCGGTATATAAATAAAGTAAATAATAATAATAATAATAATAATAATAATAATACTGCCAGTACACCGATCTTGGAAGACAATCCTACTTGGACAACGAGGGATCGCCTAAGTAAGTACCCTGAGATAGGTTCATCTTAGGCTTGCCACAAGTCAGAAATGAATGTAAAGTGCTTAACAAAAAAAAAAACAAGCAGGGTAGAAAGAAACCTGTTAGTATTATAGGGGCACTTCCATCCCCTTAATCATGCAGTTGTACTTTCTTCACGATGGCACAATGATTAGATTTAGTTGTAAATCTAATGTAAGTGAAGCTGTGTACTCCTCATGCGGTTTTCTTGGGTGATGCATAACTATTTGTTCGTGCAATATATGAGTCATAAGGACTGAATAAATTGCTACAGTGTGCTCAACACTGCACAAGAAACTGGCATGCATATCACACAACAACAACTAATACTACTACTGAAAAATCTAAATCATTGCTGGTCTTAGAATTACAGAGTTGGAAGACACCTCATGGGCCATCCAGTCCAACCTCCTGCCAAGAAACAGGAAAACTGCATTCAAAGCACCCCCAACAGATGGCCAGCCAGCCTCTACTTAAAAGCCTCCAAAGAAGGAGCCTCCACCACACTTCAGGGCAGAGAGTTCCACTGGTGAACAGCTTTCACAGTTAGGAAGTTCTTCCTAATATTCAGGTGGAATCTCCTTTCCTGTCGTTTGAAGCCATTGTTCTACATCCTAGTCTCCAGGGCAGCAGAAAACAAGCCTGCTCCCTCCTCTCTATGACTTTCCCTCACGTATTTATACATGGCCCTCATCATGTCTCCTCCAAGCCTTCTCTTCTGCAGGCTAAACACGTCCAGCTCTTTAAGCTGCTCCTCATAGGGTTTGTTCTCCAGACCCTTGGTTTTAGCTATAATAGACTTCTTGAATCAATCGAATCTTGAAAGTCAGCAATTATGTACATTCCTGTGATTCAATGAATTTTTATTTATTTATTATTTCAAATATTTGTACCCTGCCCTTCTCTGCCGCTGAAGGGGGACTCTCTAGAACACTAACAATTGTTTTAGACCTATGTTGAGACATTAAATGAGTTGTAAATGTACTACATGATGTAAAACATTTCTCCTGTTTCCAATAAATTCATCAGACTAAACTGAGATCTTACCAACTCTTCCTTTCTTGTGAATGTGTCCAGGCATGATGCCAATTTTACATTCCCCAGGCTGGAAAAGAAAAGAAAAAAACCTTGATCATATTGGGTCTTCTTTCCTAGTCTAGCACAAAGAGATTTATCTGAAGATGTCTGCTTATCAAGATGACAATCTCAAAAGATAGGCAAGGATCCCATACTGCAAGGTCCTTTAGCCTTCAGTAAAAATCTATAGCCTTCCATTCTCTTAAAAATAATTAAAAGAAAACAATACCGTTCTGTTTTAATGTCACTTGAACCCTTACGTTGATAACTCCGGGACAATTTGGGCCCACAAGCCGAGTCTTGTCCTGACGAAGCAACCTGTGCTTGACACGCACCATGTCCTGTTGAGGAATACCTTCTGTAATGCACACAACAAGGGAGATTTCGGCATCAATGGCTTCATTGATTGCAGCAGCAGCGAATGGCGGTGGCACGTATATGACAGAGGCAGAAGCACCCGTTTTGCCTATAGCCTAAAGATTAAAGGACATTGACAAAACTGTGTCATATTAAGGAAATATTCAGCTTGAAATATTTATTTATTTATTTTATTTGCTTTATTTCTATACCGCATTTTTCAGCCTCAGGCGGCGACTCAATGCGGTTAACAGGACCAACAATTCTCTCTCTCTCTTTTCGCCATCCAAATATTTGTACAGCTTGGGTTTCCAAAATGCTTGGGACCAGAAGTTTTTTGAAGTTCGGATTTTTGGGGTTTTTTGTGAATACCCTATATACTTGAGTATAAGTCGACTCAAAAATAAGCCAAATAAGCAAATTTTACCACAAAAAACTGGGGAAAGTATTCACTCAAGTATAAGCTGAGGGTGGGAAACGCAGCCAAAATTACATTAATTGAGGCATAGGTAGCCTATATGTTTTTGAATCTATATAAATAAAAATGTAATGTTCATTTGTGGGATTAACATAACTCAAAAACCACTGGTCGAATTGACACGAAATTTGGATACAATACACCTCTCAGGCCAACAAGTGACCACCACTCATAAAAACACTGGAAAACACAATAGAAGGGAATTAAAAGGGAATTAAAAGGCCAAAAAAGCAGTGCATGCGCAAAAATTACTCCCCCTGGTAAACAAAACACACAAAAGCATATCCACACACTCTTTAGGACTACAACTCCCAGAATCCCCTAGAACAGGCCCTTTAGGGGAGGAGGATGCTCAAAGCGCACTGCTTCCAAGCTGCAAACTTGCTTCTCCTTGGATTTCTTTGAGAGCATCCCAATCTATACATATTTCCTATTTCCTATTCCTGGACTGCATTTCCCAGCAATCCTCCAGATAGATTAGATAGATAGTAGGTAGATAGATCAATCAGGAAGACTGCTGAGAGTTACAGTCCAAGAATAGTTAGAGAAGGAAGAAAAGAGAGAAAGAAGGAGGGTTGGGAAGAAAGTAAAGAGGTAGAGAAGAAGGAACGAAGAAGAGAAGGAAAGAAAAAAAGGGAAGGAAGGAAGGATGGAGAGAAAGAAAGGAGAGAAAGATGTACATAAAACTGTAATGTAAGATAAGACTGTCCAACTCTGATTAAACCATTATTCTACCCTTCTTCAATGTAAATGTTCTCACGTATCCTTCCACTAATAATAAAATATCATTTGTGCCATACTGTTTAAGGCCTTACCACTTCTGTACCACTTTAACTGGTACAGAATCCAAACATTTGACTTTGAAAGTATCTTAGAGGCTGCATTCCCCATCAATCAATCTTTGGATCTGTTATCCCTATGTAACAAGCATTGCAATCTACACTTCATGGAACCAAACATTACCTCTGACACAGAGTTGAAAACTGGAAGACCCAAATGAGTTTTGCCCCCTTTGCCTGGTGAAATTCCTCCTACTAGATTAGTGCCATATTCCAACGCCTGTTGACTGTGAAAGGTGCCCTGCAAGAGAGATACAAATATGACAAAACCCAAATAAGAACAGAAATGAAATGGTACTGAGCACAAGCCCTATTGAAATAATTTGCCACAACTGAGATGTTTATTGTATAGTCATATAAGGAAATACTGATGGAAGAAAGATGGTGAAACTGTACAGCAATCATCCAAACTGCTATAACTTAAAAAATCTAACATGTTTCTTTGGAAAAGACCAAGCATAAAATACTTATTAGACTAAATTCACATATGAATTCTAATAGCCAGTAAGATTTGTAGGCAGGACAAAAAACAAAAGACAACTCTGTACTGAAAGAAGAATCACATATCTTTTCTTTGGAAGTAACTCTGCAAATTGTGAGAAATGCAACTTTTCAAAATAAAATAGCAAATTTACAGAGGAATAGCATTTGGATACTATTACTCAAGGTCAGCCAATGAAAGTCATGTAATGTAACTCAAGAACTGCAGAAGGAAAATTGTTTGTCACAGGACACCCAAGCAGGAAAGAAAAGTCTTGACCACTAGATGGCATGATGGCTCATTTTAATTTAAAAGAGCAAATACCATTCTATATAATGGCACAATAAATGGTATCCCTTTTTTGAAAAATGTGTTGCAATTATGAATGATTAAATCCATAGATACGATAGCCAACAGCATCATTGTACCATGGAGACGAGGGTCAACGGTATCATTCAATACCAGATAATGAAAGGACAATGCTTCCATCTCCTAAGGTTACTTGAGTCAACCACCTGCTTACTACTAGAACCAAGATGCAGAGTTTGATGGATCTATAGTTTAACTCAGGGGTCTTCAACTAAGGCCCATGGGCCGAATGCAGCCCTCCAAGGTCATTTACCTGGCCCCTGCCCCTAAACTTTAGACTTAGGTTTGCCCTGTCTGAAATTACTTGAAGGCACACAACAACAATCCTAATTAACTTGACTATTTCATCATCCAAAAGTAGGCCCACACTTCCCATTGAAAGATGGGTAAGCTTATGTTGGTGAAAATTGTTCTTCATTTAAAATACTGTTTTTTCTTTCATATTTTTTATTACAGATAAGATATGTGCAGTGTGTATAGGAATCAGTTCATTTTTTTCCAAACTATAGTTTGCCCCACAAAAATCTGAGGAACTGTGAACTGGCCCCCCAGGTAAAAAGTTTGAGGGCCTCTGATTTAACTAATCAGGGCTTTTCTGATCAACTATTATGAAAAAGACGGTTCTGAATTTAACAGATCTTTGATTTAACTCATTCCATCTTCACTGTACCCACATGCCTCAGCTTCCATAGAAACAGATTCCTTCTGAAGAAAGTTCAAAGACCCCCGTGGGCTCCTGACACACAGTTTGAGAGTCACTTTGCTATGTTATGAACTGATTGGCCACTGAAATACACACCTGTTTGCCAGTAAAACCCTGGCAAATGACCTTTGTGTCTTTTGTGATGTAAAGATTCTTCCGTGTCGCTGAATAGGAACAATGCCGTACCCCATTTTTTTGCACTAAAAAAAGAGAGGAAAAGATACCAGAAAAAATATACACATACTTTCACTATTAAGCTGAATTATACATTCCATCAACTAGTCACTTAGCCAAGACAGTTTTTTGATTGGAGAGAGAGAGAAGGAAAGTAAGAATAAGTAAGGTAATGCAGTGTAACTTTAGCTGGGACAATTTTACTAATAAAGCAAGGGTATTCATGTGCATTTTCTACTGGATCAGAGTATAACTATGGGCTGAAAATGCGATAAATCAGTGAAGATAACTATGTTCCATGACTTCTTATTTAGAAAACACCCTTTAGGCCTTAAATAGAACAGCACACATATGTATTGCAAGTATATGTTTCATGTTACGTATTATCACTTTGCACATACTTACGTAAAATTTTACTTATACTGTTTTATTACGCTCTGAAAAATTTCCTACTAAAATGAAAAAAAGGGGGGAAGGAGGCTAAAATCTATTTCCACCTTCCAACCCAATGATATACTAAATGCAAAATTACTTATTATCCCACTATCATACTATAGAAAAAAAACTCAATTTCTATCCTCTAACTTCATTAATATTTTACCACTCTTCAAATCCCACAAGTATTTTTCTTTCTTTTTAACATAAGACATAAAGGCTTCCAATTGTTTTTTTAAAGCGTCTATTGATTTTTCCTTTATTGGACATGAGAACTTGTCCAAGAACAGAACATACACCTGCACAAAACTCAGGTGTTATTCTGAATTTATTATCCCACTCTCAGGTAATTCTCTTCATTTGCAGTGTTTAGAAACTATAAAACAATTGTGACTGCCACCAGCTGCCTTTCCTCCATTATATTTCCCACCAAACACAAATCTTCATGGGGAAAATAGTTGTTTTCGCTTTGAAAGGAGACGACATGAACCTGAAACAATACCAAGAATTCAGTTTGCAAGGATACATCTGAGGCAATATTTTGTCATTGTGGAAACAAATCCAACTGCTATGAGCACAAGATAGTAAAGGCAAACCCTCTGAGGGAGCAGAGTATTTTGCCAAAGCAAGTGGAAATAATCTGTTTGTACAGACTTCAACTAACTTTCTCAAGAAGGATTAGCCTGTCCCAAGCGAGAAAAGGTTTGCTTTTTGTGCCTTTATTCTTCAAATAAAAGTCCTATTCATAAGTTTGTGCAACGGTTGTCCATTTATGGCTTCCCCTTTAAACTGAAGGTTTGGAATAATTCCCTGCTCTCCAAAGGTTCTTCAGTTGTAGTATGGGATACATAGTTCTCTTCAGGCAGCTTCCTGCAGCCTGCTGGCTGCCTGTAAGCAGGAAGAGAGAGAAAGCTCAACAGCAGGAATGCAGGAAAAAAATGAAACAAGGAGGCAATGGAAACTGTCCAAATTAATTGCAATTCAAAGGACACATATGCCAAGTCTCAAGGAGGCATTTGTTATTACAGCAAAAGAGAAAATTAGAAGAGAGGGTTTTTTTTAAAAAAAAACCAGTAAAATGGGGTCTGTGTCCTTCAGCTGTTGCTTTTTATGTGTGTGTCAGGAGCGACTTGAGAAACTGCAAGTTGCTTCTGGTGTGAGAGAATTGGCCGTCTGCAAGGACGTTGCCCAGGGGATGCCCAGATGTTTGATGTTTTACCACCCTTCTGGGAAGCTTCTCTCATGTCCCCACATGGAGGGCTGGAGCTGATAGAGGGAGCTCATCCGTGCTCTCCCCAGATTCAAACCTGCGACCTTCAGCCAGCACAGGGTTTTAACCCACTGCGCCACCGGGGGCTTGGAGTTTATTATAGCGAATTTGCAATTCTTGTTAACTGCGTGTCTCGAAAAAACCAAGTTAGGTACAGCTCATGATATTTTGATTTTAGATCTCAGCCTTAGCAATGAAGGATTTGAATTCACGCACATTTTGAACAAAATGGGAAATAGATACCCATTTTGCATCCTTCTTCTTGGCTATTTCTTGAACAGAAGGTTGTAGTCAATGAAATCTTAGTCATTATAGAAAACTATTATATGTAGAAAGACGCTTCAGGGAAATCATTACAACAACTAATCTTTAAACTCTCCAGAACTGCAGACAACCATTCTGGCTTGCCAGGGTTTTATTTTGTTTTGTTTTTCAAATTGCCAAGTCTTTGCATTTTGTGAATGCCACAAAGAACCTGGAGTCCCTATATATCATAGGGAAAATTCAAGGAAACCATGAAAATGAACAAAATCTGGCTACCAGTATTAAAAAAAACTCTAAAATTACAACAGCACAACAACAGAGAGGAAACAAACAAGGACATATAATCACCTCTCAACAAAAGATTGCTCCAGGCACTGTCAGGCCATTATATGCTAATTAAGGTGGTCAGTTGAAACATTCACACCTAGCTCCAGCAGACAAGAGTCCTTTGTCTCACCCTGGTCATTCCACAGAAATATAAACCCTTTTTTCTAGTTCCAACAGATCTCACTACCTGAGGATGCTTGCCACAGATGCAGGCGAAACGTTAGGAGAGAATGCCTCTAGATCATGGCCATATAGCCCGAAAAAACTTACAACAACCCAAGAGAATAAGAAATCTGAGGATGGAATAGTAGTAAAAAGAAGAAATTCTAGGACAGCATCTGCATTCAAGACTGGAACAAAACCCAGGGCTATTAAAAGGAAAAAAAGCTCTGTTGCTGTCAGTGATACAGGCTGAGTATTCCTTGCCTAAAATGCTTGAGACCATAATGTTTTGGATGTTTGGGAAATAGGAACCAAGCCTACACAGCCAGTCCCTGAGTTACAAACATCCGACATATGCAGGCAGTCCCTGAGTTACAAACATCTGACTTCTGAAGTCTCATAGTTAAGAACGGAGGTTGAGAAATCTACCTTTTGGAAGGGAAATTCACTTCTGAAAGAATTATCATGGGGCAAAGGTGTCTTCGCTGTAGTTTTTTCACCAATTCTTGTTTCCACAACAAGCCATTTTTCCCCCGAAATCACAGGGACATAAAGTGAAATGAAATCTTCTGAACAGGGGCACAGAGAGCAAAACAAACACCACAGGGCTGTTAACCCTTCCCTATGCTATCCACAGCATGCATTTGTGTGTGTGTGTTTGTGTGTATACACACACGCACACACACACACATGGCTGGAGCTACACTTTAAAAATGTACCTGCCCCAATTTACAAAGCAATTCAACTCAAGAACAAACCTGCAGAACCAATCTTGTTCCTAACTGTATGCTTCATATTGATCTTATACATGTGAATATTACAGATATTCAAAATCATTTTGTGCATGCCTCAACATTTACGTGCACTGAAAGCAAAGGTGTCATAATCTTAGCCACCCATTTGGACAGCTTGGATTTGGGGAGAATTTTTGATGCACAAATTATAGATAAATGAGGCATATCTTGTATTGAACTTGAAAAGTACCTTCTCACTGCCCTCAGGATCAAGTTAAACTGCAAGAAACGGGGGCCAATTCCCACACTAGAAGGCTACATTCCTATTTATTCCACATCTTTCTTCTAGACCAGTCTACACTGCCATATAATCCAGACTGCAGACAATCCACATTAACAGCTTTGACCTGGATTATATGAGTCTACCCAGTCATATTATCCAGACTGTCAAAGCAGACAATCCACATTATCTACTTTGAACTGGATTATGAGCCTATCTGCTTTGAACTGGATTATATGAGTCTACACTGCCATATTATCCAGATTGTCAAACCAGACAATCCACATTATCTACTTTGAACTGGATTATATGAGTCTACACTGCCACATAATCCAGATTGTCAAAACAGACAATCCACTTTATCTACTTTGAACTGGATTATGGGCCTATTTGCTTTGAACTGGATTTATATGAGTACACTGTCATATAATCCTGATTGTCAGAGCAGACAATTCACATTATCTGCTTTGAATTGGATTATATGAGTCTACACTGCCATATAATCCAGATTGTCAAAGCAGACAATCCACATTATCTGCTTTGAACTGGATTATATGAGTCTACACTGTCATATAATTCAGACTGTCAGATTGTCAAAGCAGACAATCCACATTATCAGCTTTGAACTGGATTATATGAGTCTGCACTGCCATATAATCCAGATTGTCAAAGTTGATAATCCACATTACCTACTTTGAACTGGATTATCAGCCTATCTGCTTTGAACTGGATTATATGACTCTACACTGCCACATAATCCAGATTGTCAAAGCAGATAATCCACATTATCTGCTTTGAACTGGATTATATGAGTCTACACTGCCATATAATCCAGATTGTCAAAGCAACCAATCCACATTATCTACTTTGAACTGGATTATATAAGTCTACACTGCCCTATAATCCAGACTGTAAAAGCAGACAATCCAGATTATCTGTTTTGAACTGGATTATATGAGTCTACAGTGCCAAATAATCCAGATTATCATCTTTGAACTGGATTATACGGAAGTGTAGACCAGGCATGGGCAAACTTCAACCTTCCAGGTGTCTTGGACTTCAACTCCCACAATTCCTAACAGGCTGTTAGGAATTGTGAGAGTTGAAGTCCTAAACACTGGAGGGCCCAAGTTTGCCCATGCCTGGTCTACACTGCCACATAATCCAGCTCAAAGCAGATAATCTGGATTTTACAATGGCAGTGCAGAAGGGGCTTAAGAATCCTCAGCCCATACAAATGTGTTAAAGTGACTTTGTTTGTGGGCTGCGAGCCTCAGAAACCTCCCCCAGCCCTGCTCTCATCAGGCCACCGCTGCAAGGCTTGGGAAAGGAACTCCCAGACTACAACTCGCCTTGCCAAGCGAGTTGTAGTCCTAAAGAAGTAACTTTTCCAAGGCTGCAAGGTCGAGGGAGCATTCCCCCAAAGGGCCCAGAGAGTGAGGCCTAGCCTGGGGCGAGGCCTTCGCTTACGGAGGAAGAGGAGCCGGCGGCCCAGGCCTCGAGCGCCGCTCCCGCAGCCGGGCATCCTGGCCTTCCTTCTTCACCCCGGGCGCCAATGACAAGGGGGCCTCGCCGCCCTCCCCACTTCCGGCCTCGGGAATCCGCTCCTCTGCTCAGTGCGCCTGCGCGCGGAGACGAACTTAGCTGTCTAGAGAGAACGCCTGATTTTTTTTCTCCCCTCAGAAAACAGTGTGATGCGGAGTTTTCTATATATACACATAGGTGACTACAGAGGTGCCTTGGATTCTAAACAGGGGTCCTCCAGTGGACTTCAACTCCCAGAAGCCTCAGCTATCTTGGCTTATTGGTAGGCACTCTGGGAGTTGAAGTCCAAAATTAACCAAGGAGGCTCAAAGATTGGGAAATTCCTCCTGTATGGTTCCCTGTATGGTTCTCACTAACATTCCTAGTGAATATACAGTGGAAGTGAAGAACAGATTTGAAGGACTAGATTTAGTAAACAGAGTCCCAGAAGAACTATGGACAGAAGTCCGCGACATTGTTCAGGAGGCGGCAACAAAGTACGTCCCAAAGAAAAAGAAACCAAGAAGGCAAAATGGTTGTCTGCTGAGACACTGGAAGTAGCCCAAGAAAGGAGGAAAGCAAAAGGAAACAGTGATAAGGGGAGATATGCCCAGTTAAATGCGCAATTCCAGAGGTTAGCCAGAAGAGATAAGGAACTATTTTTAAATAAGCAATGCATGGAAGTGGAAGAAGACAACAGAATAGGAAGGACAAGAGACCTCTTCCAGAAAATTAGAAACATTGGAGGTAAATTTCAGGCAAAAATTGGTATGATAAGAAACAAAGATGGCAGGGACCTAACAGAAGCTGAAGAGATCAAGAGAAGGTGGCGAGACTATACAGAAGATCTGTATAGGAAGGATAATAATATTGAGGATAGTTTTGACGGTGTCGTGAATGAATTAGAACCAGACATCCTGAGGAGTGAGGTTGAATGGGCCTTAAGAAGCATTGCTAACAACAAGGCAGCAGGAGACGACGGGATCCCAGCTGAACTGTTTAAAATCTTAAAAGATGATGCTGTCAAGGTGATGCATGCCATTTGCCAGCAAATATGGAAAACACAAGAATGGCCATCAGACTGGAAAAAATCAACTTATATCCCCATACCAAAAAAGGGAAATGCGAAAGACTGATCAAACTTCCGTACAGTGGCCCTTATTTCTCATGCCAGTAAGGTAATGCTCAAGATCCTGCAAGGAAGACTCCAGCAATACATGGAGCGAGAGTTGCCAGATGTTCAAGCTGGGTTTAGAAAAGGCAGAGGAACGAGAGACCAGATTGCCAATATCCGCTGGATAATGGAGAAAGGCAGGGAGTTTCAGAAAAACATTTCTGCTTCATTGACTACTCTAAAGCCTTTGACTGTGTGGATCATAATAAATTGTGGCAAGTTCTTAGTGGGATGGGCATCCCAAGCCACCTTGTCTCTCTACTGAGGAATCTGTACAAGGACCAAGTAGCAACAGTCAGAACTGACCACGGAACAACAGACTGGTTCAAGATTGGGAAAGGCGTACGGCAAGGCTGCATCCTCTCACCCAACCTTTTTAACTTGTATGCAGAACACATCATGCGAGGATGTGCGGGGCTTGAGGAATGCAAAGCTGGGGTGAAAATGGCTGGAAGAAACATTAACAACCTCAGATATGCAGATGACACCACTCTGATGGCCGAAAGCGAGGAGGAGCTGAGGAGCCTTCTAATCAAGGTGAAAGAAGAAAGCGCAAAAGCCGGGTTGCAGCTAAACATCAAAAAAACCAAGATTATGGCAACAAGAATGATTGACAACTGGGAAATAGAGGGAGAAAACGTGGAGGCCGTGACAGGGTTTGTATTTCTAGGTGCAAAGATTACTGCAGATGCAGACTGTGGCCAGGAAATCAGAAGACGCTTACTTCTTGGGAGGAGAGCAATGTCCAGTCTCGATAAAATAGTAAGAGTAGAGACATCAGACTGGCAACAAAGATCCGCCTAGTCAAAGCCATGGTATTCCCTGTAGTCACCTACGGATGTGAGAGCTGGACCTTAGGGAAGGCTGAGCGAAGGAAGAGAGATGCTTTTGAGCTGTGGTGTTGGAGGAAAGTGCTGAGAGTGCCTTGGACTGCGAGGAGATCCAACCAGTCCATCCTCCAGGAAAGAAAGCCCGACTGCTCACTGGAGGGAAGGATACTAGAGACAAAGTTGAAGTACTTTGGCCACATCATGAGGAGACAGCAAAGCCTAGAGAAGACAATTATGCTGGGGAAAGTGGAAGGTAAAAGGAAGAGGGGCTGACCAAGGGCAAGATGGATGGATGGCATCCTTGAAGTGACTGGACTGACCTTGAAGGAGCTGGGAGTGGTGACGGCCGACAGGGAGCTCTGGCGTGGGCTGGTCCATGAGGTCACGAAGAGACGGAGACGACTGAACGAATGAACAACAACATATAATAACAGTGTGGACTCAGGGCCCTTCCACACAGCCATATAACCCAGAACATCTCATTGAACATTGAGAAAACCAAAGTGCTCTTCCAGCAGGCACCAGCCAATCCATCTGCAATGCCAGAGATACAGCTTAATGGTGTAACATTAGAAAATGTTGACCATTTCCGCTACCTTGGCAGCCACCTCTCCACAAAAGTCAACATTGACACTGAAATGCAACACGGCCTGAGCTCTGCGAGTGCAACATTTTTCCGAATGAAGCAGAGAGTGTTTGAGGACCGGGACATCCACAGGGAGACCAAGGTGCACAAGGGACATCCACAGGGAGACCAAGGTGCACAAGCAACTCCTGGAATGACTCCATCAGCGCTGCCTATGGAAAATCCTACAAATCTCTTGGGAAGACAAGCGGACAAATGTCAGCATGCTGGAAGAAGCAAAGACCACCCGCAATGAAGCGATGTGTTGTGGCTCAGTCTGAGCCTGAGTCTGAGACTGACTTGTTTGGGCCTTCTGGGCCTTCTGAGCCTGACTTTCAGGATGACGAGGAGGCTGATGGATTACAGATTCCTGTACATGTTCCAGACGGTGATTGTTTTGATGACAGCAACATAGGTGGGAAGGAGGAATGGAAAATGGGGGGGGAAATAGTTTTTCTCCTTCAAACCCCCTTCCCCCTTAAAATGGACTATCCTTCTCTGTCTAGCCCCCCCCTTTGTGGCTTCTGCCTGGATAATGGAACAGTCCCTCTATTTCTGTAAAGTACACATATTTATTTATTTATTATTTACCTTACTTATATACCGCTGTTCTCAGCCCGAAGGCGACTCACAGCGGTTCACAACAAATACGAACAGCAAAAATTCAGTGCTACAGTATAGAAACAGTTAACAACCTAACACATTACACAATAATAAACAGTTACTACAATACCCATTCACTGTCGTCTCGTCATCAAAAACATGTTCCAGATTCGTCATCCATTGTTCCATTCCAGTGTTCATTAACCAATCATTGCACTAATTATTGGAACGCCTGCTCAAACAGCCAGGTCTTCACTTTTTTGCGGAATACCATTAGAGATGGTGCTAGTCTAATGTCCGTAGGAAGGGCGTTCCACAGCCGAGGAGCCACCATCGAGAAGGCCCTATCTCTCGTCCCCGCCAGCCGAGCTTGAGAAGCAGGCGGGATCGAGAGCAGGGCCTCCCCGGAAGATCTCAAAGTCCTGGTGGGTTCATAGGCAGAGATGCGGTCGGATAGGTAGCTTGGGCTGGAACCGTTTAGGGCTTTAAAGGCCAACGCCAGCACTTTGAATTCAGCCCGGTAGCAGATCGGTAGCCAGTGGAGTTGGCGCAACAGGGGGGTTGTATGCTCCCTGCGCTCCGCTCCTGTTAAAATCATGGCTGCCGAGCGTTGGACTAGTTGGAGCTTCTGAGCTGTCTTCAAAGGCAACCCCACGTAGAGAGTGTTGCAGTAGTCTAAACGGGATGTAACCAGAGTGTGGACTACCGTGGCCAAGTCAGACTTCCCAAGGTGCGGGCGCAACTGGCGCACATATGAAAATACACTGAACAATTTAAAATGTATAGTTAAAAATTGACTGGCTAGGCCTGCCAGATTTGCTCCTCCTTTTCCTTTGATCAAGATTAAATTTATCAAAAAAAACAATAAAAATCTATACATATATTTCATATTGTTCAAAAATGCATATGGATACACACATACACATAGAGACACATAGCAACAAAGTGTGTGACGCCAGCTGTAAATTGTAGCATCCTCATCTCCATAACACCAAGGTGACATTCCGCTTCCTTTATTGCCAACCAACACTGAGCTCCATATATTGTGGCAGGTCTTATGACAGTTTGATAGTTTTTTTGATTTTAGGCGATCAGGCATCTTCTTGTCGCAGAATACACCTGATACCAAGTGCCATTTCATCCAAGCCGCATTAATCCATGTGGTAATGTCAAAAAGTTGTCATCTGAAGTTATCATTGATCGGAGATACTTGAAGGTGTTGACTTTTGGGAGATCCACCCCGTCCACCTGGATGGTACTAGTCTTGGTCACCAGGTACTCCATCTTTTTGATGTTGAGGCGATGACCGAATTGCACCAACTGGTCACACCATGCTTGCACTTGACATTCAAGTTCTTTCTTCTCTTCAGAAGCAAGCATTACGTCGTCAGCATACAGCAAAGTCCAAGATGCTGGTTTCTGCACCTGTCTAGTAGCGTCATCCATTACAGCAACAAAAGGAGGGGAGATAATTGGTTCCCAAACTTTCATAGCCAATTTATCTATTTCCGCTTTTTTTTAAAAACTTTTACAATCCATTATTTTATTGTTGGAAGATTTGACTTCCAATGTTGTGCATATCACATCTTTGCTACAATTATCATGTAGTGCAGTACTTTGTAGTTTAGTGGTTTTGTTTGTTTATTTGTTATTCATCAGCAAGGTGGCAGGGAGAAATAACAGTAATTTAAGTTCCAATTACATATTTGATTTTAAAAATCCCTGTAGAGTTTTTAGTGTCCATTTCCAAAGAAATTGCTTGCTTTTTTAGCAGACCATCACATGTGATAGAAAGTTTCTTTTTGTTGCTTTCATTTCCAACAGGTACTGTTTTTACA